CTGCAAGTTGGATTCAAATGAGGGGTATAATAGTCAAATAATTAAAAAAAACTGTGGTATTAACAGTAGTGGCTGTGGCAATAACACCACCCAAAAATTCAGATACAATTTTAAAACAAATAAATAAATAAATAACACAACGTCTTCTCCTGAATCTCTGCAAATCCTGCGAAGAAAATGGTTGATTATGTATGAAACCTTCTGCATCCCATTACAGATTCTCTCTCTTCTTCATGTAGGTGAGCCAGGAAAGCCTCCTGTGCCACTTTCTCTCTTTCTCTAGGTTTCCCGTAAAAAGTTAAAAAAATTTTCTTCCGAAACAAACAAAACCAATTACCCAAATCGAATTCATTTTGGAACGGAAAATTTCCCAGAAAACGCCAAAGCTCACATCCCCATTTTCCCACTAACCTAAATAAATATCTCCTCCCTAATCATTTCAACCCTAGAGAGAAAAAAATAAAGGCCTCTCAATTTTTATCTATCTGGTTTTTCACGTTCCTTTCCGCCTTCGATGTTCGTCTTTCTCTCTAGAATCTGCTGGTTTTCTCTCCAGGTTAGATTCTTGTTTGATTCTATGATGAATGATTATTATTAATTCTTGTTTTTGGTTTTCTCTTTTGTGTATGATTTGGATTTGGGTGATTTGTGGCTGAGATTATTTGTGACGGTGTACAGATATGGTGGAATTGATTGAGGGTTTCGGGGATAGATCTGTTGATAAGGTGTAGTGGAGGGGTTGATTGAAAGTAATAAACTTGATTTTGGAGATTGAATTTTTATTTTTTTTTTTGTGTTTGCTGGTTTTGGAATTGATTTGTGTTTTTGAGACGAAGTTTGGGTTTCGAGTGATGTCTCTGTTGCCAAAGAGCGATTCTATCCAAATTCGTGAGGTCTGGGCCGATAATCTTGAGGAAGAATTTGCTTTGATTCGTGAAATAGTTGATGGCTATCCTTACATTGCTATGGACACTGAATTTCCGGGCATTGTACTGCGGCCTATTGGCAATTTCAAGAGCAGCTACGACTATCATTACCAGACTTTGAAAGATAATGTGGATATGTTGGAGTTGATTCAGTTGGGTCTCACTTTCTCTGATGAGCAAGGCAACTTGCCCACTTGTGGAACTGATAAGTATTGCATTTGGCAATTCAATTTTCGTGAGTTTAATGTCAATGAGGATGTATTTGCCAATGACTCAATCGAGCTTTTGAGGCAAAGTGGGATTGATTTCAAAAAGAACAACGAGGAGGGTATTGATGCTGTGCGGTTTGGTGAGCTCTTGATGTCGTCCGGCATTGTGTTGAATGATAGTGTTCATTGGGTTACCTTCCATAGTGGGTATGATTTTGGATACTTGCTTAAGCTTTTGACCTGCCAGCATTTGCCTGATACTCAAGCGGGGTTCTTTAATTTAATCAATATCTACTTTCCTAAGCTGTATGATATCAAACATTTGATGAAGTTTTGCAATAGTTTGCATGGTGGACTGAACAAGCTCGCCGAGTTGTTGGAAGTGGAAAGAGTTGGGATCTGTCACCAGGCAGGTTCAGATAGTTTGCTCACAGCTTGTACATTCAGGAAATTGAAAGAGAATTTCTTTAGTGGCTCTTTGGAAAAATATGCTGGTGTGTTATATGGTTTAGGTGTTGAGAATGGACTAAGTAGTCATTGAAAATGAAAAATAAATAAAACAAAATAAAATTTAGGATCGAAGTTTAGAAAGCTGTTTGTTTCTCTCTGAGTGTACCTCACACCCACACTTCAGTGTACACTTTTGGCAACAACTTTCTTAATTTATGGATGCCCCTTTTTATGCCTACTTCTTCCCTTGTTTTCCTCTATGTCTACAGTTGCAAGCTTTAATTGTGTGCTGCTTCATAACTTGCTGTGGGTTGTATATCTTTACTTTCAATTGGTCCATTTATTGTAGCATAATGTAATAGAATTGGCAGACATTGGTGCATAATGATGGCAGTTTTCCTTTGAACTATGAAAAGTGTTTAGACTTCTTGGATCTATGAACAGCTTGTGAACCATATTGTGCAGACTAAAACAATGATTGTTACGATTTCCATGTCTTTCTCAGTTCTATCCCCGTTCACCCATTGCATGGGGGGTTGTGTTTTCATATTGAAAATACAATCCATTTTACTGTTTCATCAATTTTGATTGTATTACATCTAAAACAGATAATAACTTAAGGTTGAACCTTCATTTCTCTCTTTTCTTCAATGGTTAATTTCCACTGACATGATATTCCATCTACTATTAGTGGCACCCTATTTCTAATTTCAGCTCTTGTTCAATTGCACTGGACATCTGTAGCCTGCATTTATCGTATATCTATTGTGTTGTTTCTTGGTTATGAATCATGTCAATTGCTTCAATTCAGATAATTTTTTTCATTCCATATTGCAAACGTCTTCTATCCATCTAGAATTTGAGTAATCATTGCAAATTGGTAGCCTTTGCCATCATCTTTCAAGTCCTCTGGTACCAGTTTGAAGTCATTAATTCTAATATCAAGTCAAAAGGCAGTGCTCTTTGGCCAATGGCCATGGACAAGAAACATTATCCTTTTTTTTTTCATTATGGGTTTAAAAATGATGTCCAGCATTTATTTTCTATTGTTGGTTTCTTGTGGATTTGGTTTATCTAGACGGTAATGGCTTAATAAGTTTGAGTGCTGGTTTTATTTGTGAAAGGGTAGCCCTGTCTGTTACCCTTGTTTTTGATGGTCTGTAGCTTATGCTTTATGTAAGGCAATATTTTTTTCATGATTTCCTTGAATGCTTTCTGATAGTTTATCTGACTTTCGCTAGTTTTGGCAAAGTTGCTTGAGGGTGAGAAAGCATTTTGTCTGATATGCCATGTGCCAGAAAGGACAACTAAATTGTTGTTTGCCATTAGACAAGTTGGTACATGCTTGTACATTGGTGACATAGTTCATATCATTTATCTATTCTGACTGTACTTACAAAAGCTTCAGCTATATACCAAACAGGCTCTTGATCTTATTGACAACCAGGTCATTTTTTCCTTTTGGTTTCTCAAGTAGTTTGATAAATCTGCCACTAGATGTGTTTTCAAATCACCTTTTTCTTCTATACCCAAAGTTTTTCTTATTTTGCTGTCAAACAAGCTTGATGCTTGAAGAAGCAGAGCTTATCACTTACTAATGAAATAGCTAATCATGTTTTATGAGGCTAATTTTAACCAAGATTTATGTGAACATTCCGGAATGCCTAGGGTGCACTCCTGGAGTTCAGTTCAACTAAATGTGTCTTTATTTGTCATTTCAATGTAGAACTACTTGTTGTTGATCAGTTGTGCCAAGCTGATTGATTCAGTTAAGGGAGATAGTCTAATCTCTGTTCTTTACTTGTTGCCTTATTGGCAAATTCTTGCAATATATAATTTGCCAGAAGGCTCTTCCTGGGAAAGTTGTGTGTGGTTTTGTATGTTGGAATACGTGGTCCACCTGTGTCAGGCTTTAATCTATGCACACTGAAGTTTGTAACATGTTACACTAAATTTTGTTGGCTTTGAAGGCTTGTTTAATTGGTGCTATGACAGTGGGAAGATGTAATATATTTCAAATATCTGATTTCTATTGACTACTAGGATATCTCAACTGTCAACATGAGGTTGTGCTTAAATCCCCAGTTCTTTCCAGACTTATTTAAAGTGAAATCATAGAATTATGGGAGAGGAGAAATCAGAACCAGGGTTTTTTCCCCATCACGTGATGTCTTCCATCCATATGGGGAACAAGCATAATTACTGCCATTTGTTATCATTAGGTTTTTGCTTTGAATTTGGTCCTTTTATTTTGGCCGGTGCCCTAAATGGGAAGGGAGGGAACATTCTTAAAAGCTGAAAGAATATATACTAAAGTCTCCATTTTTTTTTTTTTTATAAATGGGATGAGCAATTTAAATATATCAAACGTTTCAGGGCCTTGGCATGACTTCAATCTTGACCGCTAAGCAATGCCTTGGCTAATTAAGGTTCTATATTAGAATTAAGATGTTTATGGTTTATGCTTTCCTTACCTTGATGGTCTTTGTACCTTTTCATTACCCTTTTTAATCAGATTTTCTAGTTGTTTGAAAAAGTAATTATAGAATCCTTGTTGGGGTTTAAGTGCTCAATAATCACATCTAATTAAGCTCAAATTCATCTAAACCAGAAAAAATATATATATATATATATATATGTATATAAGAAAAAAGAAAGAAGGGGCTCAGATTCTGTCCATGATATTCACCAATAAGAATTGGTGAACTGACTATAAATCATTTATATAATTGTTAAAAGAAAAGATGACACTTTGGGAGGCCAGTAAAGAAGGAAAAAAGAATCTTTTGTTTTTATAGATAATGATCTAATCCTAATTAAATTTTATAAAGTGCAAAAATCCTTTTCTTGATGGAGTTCCTTAAAAAGGAATTATGATGGACTTTCTTGTTTAGCAGCTTTTCTTTGGTATATGGTCAGTCAAGTGATTCTCTGATATTTTTCTCTTCTTCCATCTTTAGTACTCCTTTTGGCTTTAGGCTCCTTTCACTTCACATTTTGTTGTTTTGAATCCTTTTTTTTTTTTTTCTCCTTCTTATCTTTAACACTCCTCCTGGTTTTTAGGCTCCTTTCACTTCACATTTTGGCTGCATTGTACAATTCTCTTATGAATTTGACGTTCTACTTTATTATTAAAAGTTGGGTCAATAATGTCTCTTTTGGATCCAAACCTTAGATAGCAATAGCGACCATATTTCTTCATTTCCATCACCTAACATATGGACCAATTTTCTCCACTAAACCTCCTGCCATGTGATTTCCACATACCTATCTGCCAAACCCTGATTATTAACCTTACCTTTGTAACATTATTTTAACTGACAAGAAATTTAAAGACAGTGCGTTCAGTATTTAATCTATTTTTTATTAATGGAGTTGTCTATACATAACTCGAAGTAAATTTGGAGGTTGGAGAAATTTTTACAAAGCAGGGGTCATCCCTCCAAGTTGAACCATGGCAAGGGCCACAGATTTTGGCTGCACTTACCATCACAGCTAAGGCTGCAAATGCCCACACACTATAGTTCAGGGTAATTGTATTCTTCAATAACAGCTTGTATTAGTTAGGATGCTGAGTCTTGGGTATTGGAAATCTTAGCTTTGCATGGCTCTATGGAGTAAATATATATGTTCCTGGAAAGAGTTAGAACCTTTGTTCCTAGAAGAGATGCTTCTAAACAGAATAGTTACAGTATGTAATTTGATCCCTAGAGGTTGTCATTCAAGAAGAAGAAATTATCTGCTTTATTCCATTTTTTGTGGCCTAAGAGGCAGAGGATGTAAATCATTGAACGTTTGAATGCTCCTCCTCTTACCATGTGTGGATGAAATGCTTCAGGTCGCGGAATTATTACAATTAATTATCAGATTCTATATAACAAGCATGTCTTCAACATAGATTTGGCATGGTTAAGAACCTAACGCAGGTTTGGACTTTACTGTGCTTTGTGATCACAGGTTTGGACAATGTTGTTTTTAGTTCAAGTTTGTTCTTTTCATTGGTTCCAGGGGTAAGTGTTTTTTCACTGCATAACTGGTGTTTAGGCCCAAGGAGCTGCTTAGATTCTTTGATTTCACTTTAGTTGTCATCTCTGCTCTTTTCATTGGACCTCTGCTATCTAGATCTTAACTCATGAATAAAAAAAAAAAAAAAAAAAAAACCCACATTGTATTTTTAATTAGTGGGGTGGTCCAAGTTTTCTGTTTCATTTCTCTAACACAAGACATGTATCT